CCCCGCCGCCCCCGCCACTGGCAGTGGAAGATACCGCAACCCTCCACAGCTCAAGCATGGGGAACAGTAACTAAGCCCAGGAAAACATCTAGGCCAGGCAGACTCTTTCCACAGTCCAAAAAGAAGGGAAAAAATGGAAAAAAATGATATCTGACAACCCACAAATGTTTAAGTGTGCGGTTCTCCTGTTCAGCATGAAAGCACTCTTGTTGCTGCTAAGTTATTATTACCCTCACATTTTTTACATTTGTGCCCAGTACCATTTAGCCTGAGGGTATTTAGGCTTATTGCTTTAAAAATACAGAGTTAAGCATGTTTAAATCACTTTAAATATCGCAGGCAGCAGCAAACACACAGCCTACCTGCTTGGACACGCAAACTTGAAAAGAAAAGCTTTACACCATGGCCCGCAGGTCAGCCAGTCCTGGCCGAGGCAGACGGACGTCAGGAAGGAGCTACAGAAAACAAGGCCCTCTGTGTGAGAGGCTCTGCCGGGCTTCCCTCGGGTCAGCGCTGAACTGTGAGCAAACATGCCCTGAAAGCTGCGCTCTCATAAAGTGCTGAAAACTCCCAACAGATATGGCCCCTCAAAACTGTGTACAAATGAGACGCATTTAATGAACGACCCTTTCTTTGCCAATAATTCTGCTTAAATTAAGTCCAGCAGACTCTTCAAAGGGACCAAAGAAGCCCGCTTGTTAAGAAGGATTCTATATATAGACATCCAAGACAATTCTATGATGCATGTAACCAAATATATATAATTATCCTAGCTTCTACATTCCCATTATCTTCATAAATATAGGATAAAAATCAGCCTAAAGGACTTTCTCAGACCTCCACAAGGATTAAGACTAGCCAGCCAGCTTTTTAAAAGGCTACGTATGTAGTAAAGATCAAAAGCAAATGTTCTGGACAGTTCTTTTCTACTCATGGGTTTTTACTAAGAATGTGTGCAGTTTTCAGGGAAAACACCACAAATGACAGCTGTTCAAAAGCATGGAAATTAATTGGCAGCAGGAATTTCCTTGACTAATAGGGAAAAACTTAAAGTCACATGTTTTGATGAGCTTATTTTTCCCATCTTTAGTCAAGCATATCCACTGTTAATGATTAAGATTTTCAAACAGAAATATAACCAAGTAAAATCCTGAGTAGATAACCAAGTAAAACGCTGAGTGAAATCCAGCTACCTATTACTGAATGAACAATGGCATTAATGAATGAATTTTAGGTGTAAATAATAAAATATAGGGAAAGGTTCAACTTGCAGGTCTTGATTTTCTATAGGAACTAAACTATGACATCAATAAGAACAATGTAGTTATTGTATTGAGCAACAGTAGTAAGACAAGTACCTCCCGCCCCCACCCCATCCCCAGGAAGCCGCCTGCTTTGAGCTGTTTTTCTAGCAGTGGTGATGGATTTACACTGATCCATCCACAGTCTCTCTGACACAGGGGCTCTTAAGGCATTGCCCTTGTGACGACGTGAGAATGGATGAGACAGCTGGTCAGGATTAGGCGAGCAGCCTATGGCCCTGGAACCAGGTTGTGTCACCCTGCCCAGAACCTTGGGACCATTAGCATTATGCTCTCACCACCTAAGCTAACCAGCCACTGATCAGCCACGATCCAACATACAACACTCTGGGGGCACCATGTCTTTTAAATCCCGGCGACAATGTCATTCTATTTTTAAGGCAGCTGAATGCAGCCCAAGACACCCAAAGGCTCATGCATGATAGAGTCTATGCACAGACTGTCCCTCAACGCAGCAATGAGATGTCCAAGCACAAGCAATCATGGTCCTTCCATCCTAATCAAATGACAGCTCTGACTGAGCTCAGAAAAAGCAAGAAATAGTCACAGAATTCCCCCAGCATGTTCTCTCCAAGTGCCACAATGGAACAATGTACCTGGCCATCCCCAGGCTTGGAAAGTTGGCAGGAACGATGAGCACATCCAGCCTGGAGAATGGGTGTGTCCCCAGCACAGCGTGCGCTGCTGAGAGGCAAGGAGAGAGCAGCTGCAGAAGGGTCTCCTGGCAGGCACCTGCGAGGCTCTCGGGGGCGAACACCCGATGAGGAATGATCTCCTGGGTTGTGGCGGACGGATCCTGGAAGCGGCAGGGGTATTCCATGTGGCCACAGACGCCAGCACACCTGGGGACAACACAAAATAAACAGATGTACTTTATGGTAAATAGGTTTATGCTTCTTGCTGTGGAGGTGAGGAGCTTTCACAGGCATGGGCCACTTCTAGGAGAGAGCGGTTCAGACAAGTTCCCAAGCAAAAACCGTACTTGAGTTCTCCGCTTGCCTGATCTATGCAGCAGTGATAAAATACAGGTGGACATCCTTCTGATTGTACTGAACTATTTGAGTAATTTCAATCTAAGCTAAGTGAAAGCAGTAAAATCTTGTTTTAGAATAAATGGGGGAAAAGCCCCAAGACTCTAAACAGTAAAACAACTCATCAGACAAAAAATAATGTCTGCCCTTAGAATTGTGCTTTCAAATATCACTATGGAAGAAATCCTCTCCAAATCAGGGACGATTCATAACTCAGAAAGGAAGGGACGGTGCAGCCAAAGTGAAGATGGCATTCTGGAATTTGCTAGAATAAAAGACGTGGATTTGGGTAGAGAACAATGAAGCAAATGACAGTACAGCTTCCAACTTCAAAAGAGCACAATCCACTCTACTAAAAAGTAGTCTAGGTGGTTCTTTACAAAGGCCATCAAAAGGTGTGCTGTTAAGGAATACAGAGGCGCTTTTCCCCCCAATATATTTATTATTGACTAGAGGCCTGATGCACGAAATTTGTGCAAGGGGCTCGGCCCTCGCAGCCCTGGCCGTCCAGTCTAATTAGCATATTATGCTTTTATTATTATAGATTGATTTTAGAGAGAGAAAAAAAGGGAAGGGAGGGAGAGAGGGAAGGAGGGAGAGAGGGACACTGATTTGTTACCCTACTTATTTAAGTATTCACTGGTTGATTCCTGTATCTGCTTTGACAGGGGATCGAATCCAAAATCTTGGGCAATGCTCTAACCAATGAAATACTGGCCAGGGTCTACAGAGCACTTTTGTACAAGATTTTCACCAATCCATTTTCAATACAAACGTAACTAAATCAGCCTTTTAAAGAAACAGATTAGAGCCCAGCCTGCACCATCTGGCCACTGTCCTTTATTCTACCAAAGGTGGAGCTGAAAAAGAATTCCTAGAGCCTGACTCATAGGCCTCAAGAGAACCTATCTACCCAAAGAACCCCACGTCAAAGGGAACTATTTTTTCACCTGTTAACAGGTCCTTTATTCGAACATAATGGAATAGTTCTCTACTTTTAATGTATAAATTATATTCCTAACTATGAGGTTTATTAGATTCACAGTGAATACTGAAAAAAAACTTAAAATACCGGTACATTCCAATATGGGAGGACTGTAGCAATACTGCCTCTCCAAATTTCTGAAGTGCCTTTCACCCGCCCAAGGTCAGCACTGACTGCCCTAGGAGGTCTGCACAGCAATGGAGAGAAGCCTCGCCCTCCACCATGTGGTACATAGAACACAGCTCCCAGCACCCATGACGTTTGGCCACAGCTGAGGGAACAGTAATGGGGGAAGACTCATAAATACTTCTCCCAGGTTAAGGTGACAGGAAGAATATAATTGTTAAGCTTGCCAAAGTCCCCGGATTGATAACCTTGCTTTATGGAGAAAGTGAGAATAGGTGCCTGTTGGTAAACATTTAACCGAAGGCTCAGTGTCCACCTAGGGCAGTGATGGCGAACCTATGACACACGTGTCAGAGGTGACATGCGAACTCATTGCTTTGGTTGATTTTTCTTTGTTAAATGGCATTTAAATATATAAAATAAATATCAAAAATGTAAATCTTTGCTTGACTATGGTTGCAAATATCAAAAAATTTCTATATGTGACACGGCACCAGAGTTAAGTTAGGGTTTTTCAAACTGCTGACACCCTGAGCTCAAAAGGTTCGCCATCACTGACCTAGGGACTAGTACTGTGCTGGAGCATCAATTTAATGACAGCTCTCACAAAGCGAAAAATCATTTGTTAAGTTGACCACCACAATACCTTCTCCTAATGTGTTTATATGGGTATGCAATGTGCTATGGTAATTGAAGCTCGCACTCTCCATTGAAAAGCTTGCAGAGCACATTAAATAATGGAGAAGTTAGAGGTGAAGAGGCATCTTCAGGACAAAGTTGGAGCATGCGTTTAAATTCAATCTATCAAAGCGCAATTTTGCAAGGAGACATTCCATTGCCCTAGCTAGAAACACACCATGGGGCTAAACTATTTCTTTTGCAGCCAAGGACTCGAACTCCAAAAGTTAGAGAACAGTTTGAGGGAGCCAAAGTAATACCATGAAAGCCAATTTGTTCAAGAGAAAAGGTGAGTTAAATTCTCTCTGGATAGAAATGGTACTACTACACAAGTAATAAGGTTATTTCAGTTGGATGCATTAGCACTGTTTTTCATAATCAAGCCTCAGAGAAATGCAGGACTCTAAGAAGACAATCAAGCTATGGGCAAGTGAGACCAGTAAGGCTCCCAGTACAAATGGAAATGGCACCAGGGAGGCCACACGTGGGTTCTGACGTGGGGATCGGGACACCTGGACTTTCGTGGCTGTTCAACCGGTTCCCTGTGACCCGAGGCAAGTGACTCGGTCTCGGGCCACTTTTCCTCACCTCGGACATGGTCCTCACAGAACAGGCTGCTGAGAAGGGGAGGGCTGATTGGAAAGGGTGTGAGGGAACTTCCTGGGGTGAAGGAATGTTCTCTACCTGGGCTAGCATGTATTCAACTGTCAAAAACTGATCAAGCCGAACAACTTAAGGTCTGTTCATTCTGCTGTTTGCTAATTATAGTTTAATTAAAGGCAAACACACAAAACACCTGAACACACGTGAGCCGTCTGCATGCGAGAGCCATGTTTCTGATGCGGTAGGGAAACGCTGTGCTTTGTAAAGTCGTGAGTCGTCTTCCACAGAGTCCACATTAACTCACAGACACTCTATCTTTCCTTCAGAGTGCCCTCCAGTTACACATCGCCATGTACATGCCTAACTCCTACCACCACTGCTACTTACGTTTATTGAACATTTACTGGGTGCCAAGCACTGCTCTGAACACTTTACATACATTTTCCCAGATAATCCACAACATGCCTAAGGAATAAGAACTATTCATCACAGCGTGAGTCTTCATAAGCTCCTCCCTCCTGACTCTCCTTCTCCATTAAACCTTATTTTGCTTCTTAAGTAAATTTGGGTCCTGGAGTTTTTCCAAAGCTGAGCTCAGCGGCCCTGTGATTCTCCAGTGTCTGTTTCTCCTTGTCAGTGTCACCTATTAATTCTGCCCAGAGTGGGAAGAAGGGTGGAACCACGTTAGGCTGGTAAACGATGGGCACCAGGCATTGGTCCCCTCTTACACGATGCTGGACTGAGACGATTTTACAAGCGCTCTCTCCAAGGAGTAGGGGTGGCCATGTCTGACTCAGAGCCACAGGACTGCAAACTGCCTCAAGAGGTTCTCCTCCTGTTTCAGACAGCGCTGTGCTGAAACCCGGGCACAAACGGTCCTCTGTCCTGGGTTCAAAAGAAATTACTGGAAAGCCTCCCCGGGGAATGCACAGCCTTTTCCCACAAGCCTTCCTGGGTTCACCGTGAGGACTCAGTCAGTATCTCCTGCATTCCTGCTCTTCTCAAGGCACTCCGCACGGGGCTGCCCTGCGCATACCTATGCAGAAGACGCCGGCCTGACCTTTGAGGAGTTTACAGTTTTGTTAGGAGAAAAAATGTTAGATCCTGATTAGTTTAGTGACACAGTCCAACGTTTACGCAATTTATGAACATGTTTCAGCTAGCAGAGAAAATGCCTCCTAAAAATCACAAGTGCTCAAACCACCATCACCTGCCCCCCAGCGGGTGGCTGACAGTGATGGCAACACACATCATGATGTCATAGCGTCTGAAAGCTGGAGTGTTTTCTGCAAACATTCAGTACATTAAAAAGCAAAATGTGATATGTGCAATGCAGGGAAGAAAGCAGAAACACTCTAGGGGAGCAAGGGTTGGACAAATAACCAGCCGAGAAGGCCTGGAAAGGTCCCCCCACAGCGAAGGTGTTCCGGAAACTGGAGTTCCCCTGTGATGTATCTCTGCATCCCTTCTATTCAAAGAGATAGAAACAGGCCTCGTCCGCCAAGGTCCCACTCTTCATTGACTTTACACCCTCTGCCAAGTGTCCCCTTCTGTGGAGTTAGCGCCTCAGTGCCTCTCCCAGGCTTTTCCAAGCTCTGTGTGCCTGTTTTCCACGCTTTTAACCATTTTTGCTGATCTCCTCTGGCCTTTATCCAAGGGTCCTGCTTAACCTGTATAGCCCCAACGTGAAGACAACGCTTTAACCAAGGCCTCAAGAGGTTAAACATAATACAAAGATTTCCTGGTGGCTGGAGAAGGTTATACTGCAGCCAAACAAAATTAATAAACTTTCCACAGTTTGGCTGAATGCCTTATAATTAATAAATTTACCTAAATGCTCACCCAGAATGAGCTGGAGCACATGTGGAACTGGAGCTGGAAGAGGACTGCTCTTCCTATAATTTGGCCCACATGGACAGGGGTCAGAGGTTCAGTGACCAGCCCTGGCCGGTGTTGCTCAATGGGTAGAGCATTGGCCCATGCACAGAAAGGTTGTGGTTCAATTCCTGGCCAAAGGAAGGGCAGATTTGATCCCTGGCCCTAGTTGGGCAAATGTGGGGGACAACCAGTCCCTCTCTCTCTCTCTTTCTCTCTCTCTCTCTCTCTGTCTCTCTTTCCTTCCCTCCCTCCATCCCTCTTTTCCTCCCTTCCACTCTCTCTAAAAATCAATGGAAAAAAATGTCCTTGGATGAGGATTAACAACAACAACAACAACAAAAGTTCAGTGACCAATACTTTGGCCAAATTTCTGGGACCCAGATGAACACATTAGGCAAATAAAAGCCTATAGTATCTAAGGCCTCTGTGAAAGTTACGTTTCCGTGAATTGAACTAGTGGTCTTAGGAAGGCTTGAGGTAGAAAGGGGGGCTGGGAAAGACAAGGGGACCAGATGTGAACATAACCAAAAACAGTGCAGTTGGCACTTCAGAGCACCTTTGTTGGCAAACTTAGCGTAGAGCCAGAGATTTAATGGATCAAAACACAAAGCCACCCTCTGATGACTAAAGACAGCACACATGAAGCACGCAGCCAGGGAAGGATTAAGCAAATGTAAGCTATTATTTTATCAGCAGCACATTTCTGATGGACAAGCACAGTGATAAATGAAGGGAAAACTTAGTCGTAGCATGTCAGACATGGAAGGGAGTGTGGGAGGGACTTCATCCACCAGCCTCCCCGCCCCCCCTCCACACTAGCACAAGCTTCCCTGCAGTGGCACCCATGCCCTGGGGCTCCAGCCGATCTGATTGGCTGGTCACTCTGGACTTTCTCTTTAGAGTCTGCTTGCCCACAGAGGGGGGACTTTTGCCTCTCAGGAAGGCTGTGTACATCTGTGTTGTGGAGGCTTGCAGTGGTCAGCTGCGTGGAGGCCTGTCTCATTTGGAGATGGAGTATTAGAAACCCCATTAACACTGTACACCTGAGCCTGCCCTCAGTCCAGCTTCTGTCAATAATAAAACCTTTCTTTTGTTCTCCTGTCTCTCAATTGGTTCTGAACTCAGGAGGACAAGAGAGGGGTTGTGTTTGCCCCGTCCCCTAAACCCTAACAGGGATACCAAAGTCCTATCTTCCCAGAATCCCCACTTCACCTGCCATGTCCTCCTCCGTCACAGTTACGGATGCAAGAGGCGTGAACAGCCATCTCAGCTGCTTCTGGGCAGCAGAGAGCACGCACAGGGGACGCTTGCTGCCCGCTCCCCACTCGGATCTCTGCGGATATGGCTGGGGGACAGAATAACAGACGTCTTTCTCTGCCTTCCCCTAGCCTTCCTAAGGCACACATTTTTCAACTGCACACCTCAAACAGCGAATCAGGCTGCGCGGTACGTGCAGAGCAGGGTGCTCCTTCCCAGGAAGAAACTGACACACTCCCTCCGCGCCACACCCCCAGCGAACTCTGCATTCTACAGAGAAGGATGGTTTTGCCCACAGAAACTTACTTAGCCAACAGGCACGGCACCTCCAGGCTCAAAGGTAGCGCCTCAACTCCTGTTTTCTGTTACAACGTGAATCATTCCAATTGGCAACAGTGACTCAGTCCTGGCACCGACTCTCCAGGTGAGAGTGGACCAGACTCCGGGTGGGGCAGGGGTGTTATGTACAATTTTTAAAAGTCCCCAGGTAAGACTCTGAATCACCTCTCCAGGGGGTTCGGCCCAGATGTGAATCCAGGTCTTGTAACTCAGGAGGCAGGAACAAGTCCCAGCATCATTATTTTATCTATAAAATGGAGATAATAAAACCTATCTGTCATACAGGCTTATCCCCAGAACTAACCGAGATGACATTTAAATCAAGATTTTCCTGGATTTCAAACAGCCAATGGCTTCTGCATCAATTCAGGATAGGCTAGGATATGCTGCAATAACACACAACCCCAGTATCTTAGTCGCTTAACACAAACAAGTTATTTCTCACTCATACCAAGTCTACTGTGGATCCAAGTGACTACCCAAGGCACCTGTCCTCCCTACTCAGAAATCTGGCTACCCAGAACTGCAAAATGAGGCCTACTGTGGGATTTCAGTGACAGGGGGAAAGGGCACTAGGTCTCACAAACCATTAAATATTCCCACATGAAAATAACATATGTCACTTCTGTCTACACCTCTTCTTCCCTCAGGAGTGCATAAGTAAAATTCAAAAAGCAATCTAGGATACTCTATATAGCTCAGGGAAGATAGCCCAAAATATGGAAGTTACTAAGTAAGAAGTGGAAATTACCTCCCTTCCTCCAAAAAGCAAAATGTAGGCAATAAGACATGCCCCTCGGAAGAGAGGGCTCAAAGGCTTTGTTTTCTAAGGACACCAGCCACCACCGTCACTGCAAAAGCAACCTGGCAAAACAAAACCGACACAAAAGGAATTTGTCCTACGAGCATATCTTATCTGCCTTTCAAGGATGAGCTAACCATCTGTCCCATGACTCTGGGCGTTCTCCACCAGAAGGTACTGACTTAGTGACGACCTGTAAATGGGAAAATGATTAAACTGAGCTGTATGTAAAAGTTCTAGAATGAAGCACGATACCACACGACATGACTAGCACACTCCTGTGCCCAGTACGTGCATTCCCCTTCTCCTCTTTGGCTCTCGAAGCCAGAAACAGCTGAACTTCTGGGAAAGCTGCAAGTGAATACCTAGTGGCCTATACTGACTTTTAAAAAGTTTAAACTGATTTTCTCTGATCGACTCTGAAATAGAAGCAATTGCTACCGAAGTTAACAGAGCCCTGACCCAGCAGGATTCTCATAACCCAAGGGCCTTGTGACTGTGTCCTTGTGTCCGATGCTCCTGAGAAGGCTGCCTCACAAATGCACTGCTAACAGCAGTCACTGGAACCAAAGCAGCAGAGTGGACTACAAAGGAAGCCATCAAACAAGCAACTTCTTTTGATTAAGTTGTGTTTTTGACTAAATAAGCACTGAAATCCAAAGTTAAAAGGTGTAGAAAGAAAGTACTGGATCTGAAGTTCCTGTTGACTTAACCAAATATACAAAAATATTTCACCTGACTTCACAGAGGATTTCATAGACATTTATTTTATTTTATTGTTCTTTCCGTATAAACAATATGCCCACATTTCTACCTCTCAACTCTCTTTCCCTCCCAGCAGGGCTTTTCCTGCTTTGAGTAATCACAGTTTGGTTTAGTTTCTCAGCAGGGATGACTCACATTCCCAGTGCTTGGAATAAGTGCATCATTCTGCTCCCTCAAGTGTCTGTTTTCCAGCAACATCCCAAATACAAACCTAAAGTCAGCCTCGGATGGCGAGAGGGACCTCTCTGCTGCCAGGTCACTTGGCGAGCAGGTCTCGGGCTTCACTTCTGTCCAGGGTCCCACCGCAATTGTGAAGGTGGAGGCTGGCATTGGCATGGTTACGTAGTAATGCCAGCTTGAGCACCCTATAAACAGAAAGAGAGAAATCACAATGAGACCCATGTATGGTTCTAGACCTCACTTGTATCTTTTCTCTTCAGGCCGTTGAAGAACTTGTGTCCTAAGATGGTATGAGCCAGTTCTTGGAGGTGGGCCATGTCAACTGAAGGGGCACTATTCCAGGTCTCAGGAAGAGAGATGATAGTTTCAGGGCAACCAGGGAGGTTTGGATCTATTCCAAGCATCAGTTTGAAGCCATTCAGGTGAGGCTATAAATATGAGGGATGGGGGACCAGCCCAATATATTAACAGATAAAAAGAATGAGGAATATAAGACCTGAAGTTCCACAGTTAATTGGTGGTTGAGGTGGTCACTAACAGCTGCAAACACAAAAAAGTATAGGCTGTATGCTTCTAGAGAGGCTAGAACAATATCTTATTCATCCTATTGCCTCGCACAGTACTTGGCATTAAAAAAAAATGCTCAGTTGAATGAATGGATGGATGATTAATGAACAAATGAATTATCACTTCTATTCTGCTAAACTATTTTGTCTGAATTTAATTCAAGCCCATCTAAAATGGATAGATATAATAGAATACAACGAGACTAAAGAAAGGAGATACCTAGGTTTTAGTCCCAACTCTGAAACTAATTAACTGTGGAAGTTCAGGTCTCATACTAGAATTCCTCATCCTTTTTATCTGTCAATATATTGGGCTGGTCCCCCATTCCTCATTGAGCAGATGAAAAGCAGGCCTGGAAAGGTTCCATGGAACCAAGGAGTGCCAGCTAGTTGGAACAAGGCTGGACTTACAGTTGGGGCTCCCCACCCAGCCAGGGGTGTGCCCCTAGTTAGTACACACCTTAGAGAAGGCTTTTACCAAGGAATAAATGATCGATAACTTGTAACACTATACTCCCTTACTTCTGAAATAGAAAAATGATTTTAATGTTTCTGAAATCTGAATGTGTCATACAACCTGATTTGACATAGTATTTTTCTCTGAGCATCTGCTATAAATTGATGGTACGTGTTAAGAGGAATTACTATCACCTCATATTATGAAACACAGTTCTCCACTTCTCATGCTCCTCGTGTTCCATAATAGTAACACAACCTAGCCTCTCTTTCAGCCTCTCACTAACTCTATGGCAGGAGCTATTCTTCTCTTTCTTGTTTTAAGTGTTAGAGGGTTAGCCCTAGCTGCTTTGGATAGAGCGTCAGCCTGCAGACTGAAGGGTCCTGGGTTCAATTGCAGTCAAGGGCACATGCCCGGGGTTGTGGGCTTGATCTCCAGTAGGGGGCGTGCAGGAGGCAGCCGATCAGTGATTCTCTCTCATCATTGATGTTTCTCTCTCTCTCCCTCTCCTTTCCTCTCTAGAATCAATAAAAAATATATATATTTTTAAAAAGCTTTAGCCCAGTTGGCATGGCTCAGTGGTTGAGCATCTACCTATGAACCAGGAAGTCATGGTTCAATTCCTGGTCAGGGCACATGCCTGGGTTGTGGGCTCAATCCCCAGTGTGGGGCATGGAGGAGGCAGCTGATCGATGATTCTCTCTCATCATTGATGTTTCTATCTCTCTCTCCCTTTCCCTTCCTCTCTGAAATCAATAAAAATATATTTTAAAACGAAGTTTTAGAGGGTTAAACACTCATGGGGTGGGCTGTGGTGTCCAATTTGGTTAGTAAGTGGATAAGAAGTCATATTCAGGGCCCAAATGTTAACATGCCCACATTGGCCCTCAGAGCTAATATGACATTTTTCAAAGTACTCTACCAGTAAAAACCAATAATAAAGGTTAGATTCTGATCTCCATATGCTTGGCTTCTTTATCTCTCAACTAATTCTGAACTCAGGAAGGTAGAGAGTCATTTTTTATTATCCTCAGAAAATACCAACTTAGATCCAAAAGAATATCCTGCAGAACTCCTCTGATGAAAAATAAAATTTTAAGTACAAAACAAAGACCTAAACTTAAGGAAAAAAATAAATGATATCAACTTTGAATAAAAATGATATGATATCAAGTTTGGAAGTCATTAGAGGAAATACTTGAATGAGGAATATAGAAGGGCATGCTCAGAATGGCTGGGAACACTTCACAGAGGTATCCATTCTCTCAAAACTGGTTATACCTTTCATTCTCTTCTGGAGTCAGAATGTCACTCTTAAAATCACTCATTCCACATCTGACTAAGAAGCTGACGGCATGCTCCTCTTTTTTTTTCTTAATCTTTATTGTTGAAAGTATTACATATGTCCCTCCTCTCCCCCCACCCCCAACTCCTCCAGCCCATCCCTGCCTCTGGCCCCAGGCCCTCACCACCCCACTGTCTGTGTACATGGGTGCTCCTTTTTTATTTTTTTAAATAGTTTTATTATTTTTTAATTGATTTTAGAAAAAGAGGAAGGGAGAACAAGAGAGAAAAGCATCAATGTGAGAGAGAAACATCAAACAGTTGCACCAGTAAGCACCTCGACCTAGATCAAACCCAAAATCTGGGTATGTACCCTGACCTAGAATCAAACCCATAACCCTTCAGTGCACAGGATGATGCTCCAACCAACAGAACCACACCAGCCAGGGCAAGGCATGCTCCTCTTTAAAGATGAGGGACTTCGAACAAGATGGCAGGGTAGGTAAACATGAAATGGGTACTTCCCTCCTCCCAGCCACATCATAATTAAAACTAAACTATAGAAAACCACCATTCCATTCAGAATGCCTGAAATCTGGCTGGTTGGAAGCCCTACAACTAGGGAATTGAAGAAGAAGCCAAATCGAGATTGGTAGGAGGGGTAGAGACATGGAAGAGGCTGGTCCCACACCCACGTATGGCAGAGAAAAATCATAAGGGATATCTTGGCTGCGGAGATCCCCCCTGAATTCCCTGATGAGAAGTGATGGGTCCCAGCCCCACACCAGGACCTCAGCCCAGGGTACCAGTGCCAGGAAGAGAAGTCCCCATAACTTCTGGCTGTAAAGATCAGCCGAGGATCATGGCTGAATGACACGGAGGCTGCTGGAGTCCCAGACAGTTCCTTTTAAAGGGTCCACACGCAGACTTACTCAGACTCATTCCCTCTGAGCTCTAGTGCTGGGCAGCAAATTAAAGTGCAACAGAGGCAGATGGGGAAGCAGTGAATTGTTTGTTGAGCAAGAGCTGAGGGCGAGGGCAGCTTTCTCCCAGACAGAAGTGCTGGCAAAAGTCATTGTTCCTTTGATGAGCCCTCCCCTTACAGAGCTGGCAGTCAGAGTCTCCATCAACCTGGCTAACACTGTTTTCCCCACCCTAGTGATTTCCTGAGGCTCTGCCCCACTCAACTTTCAGGCCCACCCAAGCTGTTTCCAGTGGCTTTTCCATACCAATGGCCTGTCTTGGCTAATGTTTCAGATTTTCCTAAAATCTCTCAAACAAGCAGCATCAGGCCTTGGTTCAGAGCCTGGCCTCTCCTGGGTACCTCCAAACCCAGAACAAGTACCAGCCATCTGCTGACTACTTTGTAGCTAATGCTGGGTGGCCCTGGGCAGTGGCTGACCTTGAATTGCACCTCCCTGGAGATCCCGGAGCCAGTGCACCCAGTGAATAGTTTCAGACCATGATGAAGCATCACTATCCAACCACCTTCATTAGCCACACACATAAAAGGCAGACTCAGTGGGCAGCAGAACCCTTCTAGAGTAAGTCCTGCTCTGTGGGGTGGGCCACAGCACAACTGATCATCCATGGTGGTCAGAGGTTGATGGTTGGTGGTCACAGACAGTTTTTGCAGCTGATTGGCCTGGGGGTAAATCTTCCCATTGACATGCCAACAGTAATCAAGGCTCAACTATAAGAGAAGGGTTACACAGCCCACGTGGGGGGCACACCTTGAGTGTCCAGCTTAGGAGACTGTGGAGGCTATGCCACTGGGCCATATGGGACACCTACTATATTAGGCCACACTACCAAGCCTGGGAGATGTAGCAGCTCTACCTCATACACAGAAACAAACACAGAGAGACTGCCAAAATAAGGAAACAAAGAAATATGTCCGAAAAGAAACAAAACTTCAGAAAAAGAACTAAACAAAATGGAGACAAGTAATCTACTAGACGCAGAGTTCCAAACACTGGTTATAAAGGGGACTCAAGGAACTTAGTGAGGACCTCAACAGCATAAAAAAGGACCAGTCAGAAATGAAGGATACACTAAATGAAATGAAGAATAATTTACAGGGAATCAACAGTAGAATGGATGAAGCTGAGAATCAAATCAACAATTTGGAATATAAGGAAGCAAAAAACACTCAATCAAAACAGTAAAAAGAAAAAAGAATCCAAAAACATGAAAATAGTGTAAGGAGCCTCTGGGACAACTTCAAGTGTATTAATATTCACATCATGAGGATGCCAAAAGGGGAAGACAGATCAAAAAATTGAAAGTCTATTTGAAAAAGTAATGACAAAAAAATTTCCTTAATTTGGTGAAGGAAATAAACATACAAGTCCAGGAAGCACAGAAAATCCAAACAAAATGAACCCAAAGAGGCCCACATCAAGAAACATCATAATTTAAATGCAAAAGGTTAAAGATAAAAAGAGAGTCTTAAAGGCAGCAAGAGAAAAGCAGTTAGTTACCTACAAGGGAGCTCCCATAAGACTGTCATCTGATTTCTCAACAGAAACTTTGCAGGCCAGAGGATTGGTAAGAAATATTCAAGGTGATAACAAGTAAGGATCTACAACTGAGATTACTCTACCCAGCAAAACTATCATTTAGAATGGACGGACAGGTAAAGAGAATCCCAGACAAGAAAAAGCTAAAGGAATTCATTACCACCAAACCCGTATTACATGAAATGTTAAAGAATTTTCTTTAGGAAGAAAAATTTAAAAAATAATAAACATAAATAATAAAATGGCAATAAAGACATATCTATCAACAATTAAATATTAAAGAAAAAACCAAAATAAATGAACAATCAGACCAGAAACAGATTCATAGATACAGAGAATATTTTGACAGTTGCCAG